GAAACTTTGCATACTAACTGAACTAACTACAAAGCAGTGCTTATGTTATTTACTTTTTTTTAAATACCATTATTTTCACTGTAAAAAGAAATTACCTAAACTATCGGCCTTTTGAAGCTTGATTCCTGCCGCACGGTCACTTCGCTTCGGCCTTTGAACGGGGGAGGTTGTGTCGCTTACGATCAGAATATACATTACGCAACAGGACGACGTAAAATTAAAATGGGAAATAACCGTGATAAAAATAAGAAGCGACTGGCTTGGCGTTAAGAAACAGGCATAAATATGATAAACCTAATGAAATAAGTGTCTAACGACCTTTCTACTTACAGTATTAGTGATTACAAACATGTCGGTACATAGCATACGACGCGCGGGCAAGTGGGGACGAAATTAGAATTTGAGCTGACTTATTATATCCCCTTGGGGGGATATTTGCCATAGTTGCTACGCTTGGCGAGCGGGTTGGCAACCGCAGTTTTTTATTATAACACAGTTGTTATCAGGAAGATGCTGCCATGACTTACGGATCTGAGACGTGGTCCTTCACCGCTGGCCGTATGAGGACGCTCAAGGTCGCTCAGCGAGCTATGGAGAGGGCTATGCTCGGAGTTTCTCTGCGTGATAGATTCAGAAATGAGGATATCCGCAGTAAAACCAGAGTGACCGACATAGCCCAACGGATTAGTAAGCTAAAGTGGCAATGGGCCGGCCATATAGCTCGAAGAACCGATTACCGATGGGGAAGAAAGGTTCTCGAGTGGCAGCCTCGTACCGGTAGGCGTAGTGTAGGGCGACCCCCCACTAGATGGAGTGACGACCTGGTAAGACATGCAGGAAGTCGATGGATGCAGGTGGCTCAGGACCGTGCTTTGTGGCATTACTTGGGGGAGGCCTATGTTCAGCAGTGGACTTGTGAAGGGCTGTAATGATGATGATGATGATGACTATATCCCCTTAACATCGTCTTGCTTATGCTGCTGGTTGTCATAGTTACTTTATTACACGAAAATATGTTTTTTTTTGTATAGGATAAGGGTGACAAACGAGCTCACAGTCCACTTGATGTAAGTGGTTGCTGTGACCCACCATAGACATCCACATTTAGCCTCGATTAAGAATAAAAATGCAGATATGCATTGTCATCCCTGAAGACTATGATGGAATGCCTCGATTCTAGTAAAACGGGTCTCCGGTTCTCTACACTCACCATACGAAACACACCAGCATTAAGCTGTTATTTTACGCTGGTATTCTGTGAGAGTGTGGTCCTGCCCTGGTCAAGCCGATCCATTTATGCTACAACCATAATATAGCTGCAGCGTGGCTCTACCACATATAAATAAATGTAGGTAATTCTACATGCTTTACTTTCTACTTTTTAAAATATTTGAGTGATTTGTACCTGTCAAAGATTTTATTTCAAAGAGCACAAGATATCTGTGACGGTTAACACTCGGCTGCCTACGTCCTACATGGAAATGGATCGGCTGATGATCAGGCTGAATCGGATGACTATGTGCTCATTTGTCACCTTTAATATAGGATATATTTTTTGTAACTCTTGAAAAAATATAAGAAGGCGGTCCATATCGTGGGTGAAGCGTCTTATTTATTGGTACAATGTCAAACTGCAAACTGAAGGGACTCACCTTTGTATTCTGTTGGATGGATCCTGTCGATTCCGCCTCAATACAACCTGTTCACCGTTGTCCAGATCTTGACTATCTGTATTCACTCTGGAAAAAAAAAACATTATTTTTATGAATTAAACAAAATTTTCTATATTAAGAATAAATTAACATACACAATTTTTAACTTGCCAGAGGAAGTATCTATAACTGTCTTTATCATGGACTTTCAAAAGCCAAATTTTGACAAACTCCTAGTCAAGTTCTCTAGGGTCAGATACAAGTTTTTGAAAGCTTGTCTGTTTTTACTTCACAGTCTGTAAAACAAGTATTTGTATGGTCTACAAATAATTGTTCCGGGTGTGGATGTTTGTTCTTGAGCAATTTATTTATATAAACTGTCCCCCTAAATACAGGAAAAACCCTTGTGGGGTAAGCATCCATCCATTCAATTCAGTACAGCTTGTAAGTCCACTGCTGAATATAGTGCTCTCTCACAGAATGCTCCGTTGGGAGGATTTCGTCAGTTTTTTTTTATTATTTTGATTTGCTACTATCAGAAAAATGCCTCTTTTTATAGGATAGGGTAACAAAAGAGCACATTGTCCATTTGATGGTAAGTGGTTGCTGTGGCCCATAGATCTTTCCTTGGTTACGAATCAAAATACAGTTGGGTTGTCACCAGTGAAGACTAAAATAGAATGTCTTGTAACCTGTAAAAAGGGTCTCCGATTCTCTACACTCACCATATCGAAACACAGCAGCATTAAGCTGCTATTGTGTTGTCCTTCCCCGGTCGAGCCGACCAATTCATTCTACTACTATAGTATTTAATGTAGCTGCAGCATGGCTCTACCACATTTAAAAATGCTGTTGGCCATCTCCCGATTTGTATTCCTTTGTTACCTCTTACGACACCCACGGGAATAAATGGGCTAGTGGATATTCTTACACTGCCAGTACACGGATTAAAAAAAAAGAGACGTGAGGAAGGAAGAGAAAGAGTTTAGCTGACGGAACCTGGCGCCGCCGTTGAGGTGCGCGGAATCGTGCGAGGCCGTGGTGGCCAGCGAGTCCGCGTCCGCGCCGCGCGACGCTGCCGACCCGCTGTCCGACCGCGACGCAGACCGCCTGCAATCCAACAAACACATTCACTAAAAAAAAGTATGTTAAGAAAGTTATAGTAAATTAAAAAGTGTTATTATACTTGTTGTTTAGAACATATTTGATTTTTTTTTTTTTGCTAGCTGCCGGGTAACCCTATATATTATTCCTATAAAACAATTTATCTCGCTGTAGTTGCACGGCAATAGATGTCATAATGTGTCAATTCAGTAAGAACAAAGTAATCATTGAGTGAAGATTCTTAAATTATTTCACCTGCAAGCAAAAGTGCACCTTATTATAAAGTGTACACTTGTTGTTATTTACTTTTAATAAGTACTATTGAATAAATATTGAATAAAAAAGTTTCTGTTTCTTTTTATTCAAATTAAACACCAGATGTCGCTATTTGGGACTTGGGTGAAGTTCTTTTTTAATCTAATAGATAAATTATATGATAGCAGCTTCAGCAGTCTAGTCTACAATTTTTTACACACAATAGCTCTATTTAATTTTTCTTCTGTAAGGGATATCCACAGTTATTGTTAATTCATTACTCCCTAGTTAATACAAAATAACACTAACATTAAGAAAAAGTTGTGGACGTCTGCATTGAGATAATTTTTTCTGCCACCATTGCAGCGCCACTCAGGAATGAGGTTAAGTATTTGACAGATTTCATAGCGAAAACATTTTTTAACTCTTTTTTTTTTAATTTTTCTACTTGCAAATGACGTCATTAATTGACGCCATTGCGTGCCGCCGTCATATTGTGTCGGTTATCTGGCAAGATAACCGACACAATATTAAAACAATTTTTAATTGTGTGTAAGCTGAATAAATTTGTTTTTATTTATTGTTACGAGCTTAGGTTCGTGACAGTAAAAACTGCCGATTGAATTACCAAAATTGACACTTTAATTACTGACCACCAATTAAAACTTAAATCACACTAATAATTAATTACACTTAACACTTTAGTTCACTTTATTTCGCTCCAAAAACTTCTCTCGTATCACCAATTCAAAACCGCCCCGGTCGCGGCCCTGAACGGCTTTATATAACCCTTTTCCAACGAAACATCTAGAATGTTCCAGCAAATATGGTACCGACAGATTAAGTGAAGAAAGTTCTTTCCTAGTTCTGCCACTTGATACTAGATGGTGCTAGAGATGGACAGTTCTAGTATGACATTTTCTAGAAGGCTCTCCTCGCACTGCTAACCGTCACTAGATGGCGCTAGGGGTATTAATTATGACTTGCAACAAATATAAAAAATTATAGAATTATTGTTGGCATCTCCCACAAATTAATTGCAACAGAATATAATAACTTTTGGAGCACAAAATGACTTAAAATACCCAACACTTTTCGAATATGGCGCAAACGTATGATGTCATATACTGGCCAATGTTTTGAAACGAATCACCAGTATTGCGTCACGTCATTTGCATTGGCCAATTGTATACTGGGTTCTATTTCGGAACAAACCCAGGAATAACCGTAGGGTAAATTATTCCAGGAGTTCCCAAAGTTATACAAGACAGTCAAAAAATGTGTGTGTGTGCATACGGTAATTGTCGAAGTTGTACGGTGATATCCCAATATGTGTGCGTATGTATGAGTATGTATGTGTGTATGTGCACGTGTGCATATATCACCTGTCGAAGCTGTCTGGGGAGAGCCGCGAGGGTGCGAGCGCGATGTGCGTGGCGGCCGAGTCCCGCACGCGCACCTCCTCTGCACCGACGGTCACCACCGATACGTGCGACGTGTCCTGTTTCAATAATCGTGATACATGTTCACCATATAATCAGTATTCTTTTTTTTATGGAATAAGGATGATAAACGTGCACACACGTGATGGCAAGTGGATGCTGTGGTCCATATACATCCACATTTATCCTCGATTAAGAATCAAAACGCAGATGCGTTTTCACCCCTGAGGACTAAGATGGACTTACTCGTTTTCAGTAAAAAAGGGTTTTCGGATCTCTACACTCTCCATACGAAACACAGCAGGATTAAGCTGCTATTTTGTGAGAGCGTGATCTTTCCCGGTCGAGCTGACCCATTCGTGTTACAGACATAATATAGCTGCAGTGTGGCTCTACCACGTATGGATCAAGCTCAAGGCTAAACATGTAGTGGATTTGCTTCAACAGCTTTTTATAGAATAAGGGTGACACACGAGAACACAGTTCACGTTTTCGATTTTGAATCAAAATGCAAATGCGTTGTCACCCCTGAAGACTAACGGCCTTATCATACTAGCGGTTTGCGAGCGGCTTCGGGGCGGAGCGGGCGCGCAGCCAATACGTCGCTACCATGCGGCGGCTGCGCAGCGAGGACGTCGCGGATGCTTGGCGGATACGCAACGTTTTCGTCGCGTGTTCGCAGCGTGTTCACGACGTACAGCACACTCAGTAACAAAATGGAATCCGAAGAGGAAACACTGCTGTTGGTTTTGTTGCTTCGAAGACGCATGAGACGAAAACAACATATTTTGGTAGGATCCATTATCAAATAATCGACTGGAAGAGAACGACTACTTTTTGTTGTTTTGCATACGAATAAAACATAATCCTGAAAAAATTCGTTCCTACCCGCAAATGTGCAAACCGACTAAAGGCATGAAGATACACATTTGTGATTATCAGTGTTACCTGTCACGTATTCGCTGCACATGCGCGGCTAATTCGTTGCGCGTCCGCGACGTATTCGCTGCGCGTCCACTCCGCCCCGAAGCCGCTGGCAAACCGCTAGTATGATAAGGCCGTAAGATGGAATGACTCGTTTCCAGGAAAAAAAATCTCCAATACTTTACACTTAACATACAAAACACAGCAGCATTGTGCTGCTATTTCACGCTGATATTCTGTGAGAGCGTGGTTCTAACCCGGTCGAGCCGACGCATTCGTGCTACAACTATAATATAGCAGGAGCATAATCGTTTATAAACAATATCATCTCGTTTACAGTAAACTAATTTTTTTTCTTCTTTTATAAACAAATTATTATCAAGAATAATTTCTTAACGCACTTGACACTGGCCATAGTACAACAGTATAAATACATTACCAAAGAAAAATAAAAACTTTCCCCGCCAGGTAAGATGTACTGCCTAGAGAGCGGCCAGCGCTCAATGTATATTTGTATAATATCCATAATACGAATTCTTCAGAAACTCCGATATTTTGATGAAGCTTCGATTGTAATTCTGTCAAATTGAAGGATACATATTTATTACGTACCAGGTTGAGTCCGTTGGCGATGCTGTCATCGAAGACACCCGAGTCCGCGGTGGCGCCGGGACTCAAGATGAGCACCTCGCTACTGTCCAATCGTCGGCCGCGACCTTTTTCTATGAAAAAAAAAAAACATTATCATAATGTTATTAAATATCAATTTTTTATTTCGTCCTTCATAGGTTTTTAGAAATGAAAACTTCTTTAAAATTGCTGTGATTTAGAACTCGATGAAATGAAAAAGCGACAATAAAAAGAGACAAACATATATACATCTATAGGATTTAACCCGCAAGAGAGCGAGATAGAATACAGTATACAGCATTTCCTATTATTTCGGTCTCTTTTTTTCTGAATATTTCTTTTATAGCGTGTGAACTGCACACGTTTCTTTTTAAAATATATCAAACTGAGAAACGAGCCAACACAACACCGAACTAACAACAAACTTAAGGAATGTCAAAATGTCATTACAGTTGAATAAGTCGTACTTTACTAACTTACAATTTTTTTAAATAAAACTAGTTTTTACGGATTTTATCCCGTATATTATTTTATATTCCCGATATTTCGAGCACTTTACAGCACCCGTGATACTAAGGTGTTCGATGCCCCAATTCAATAGTTCAACACGGCACGAAACATTTAACCCATTTCAAAATAGGTGTAACTCACCGCTGCAGGAGTTCGCGCAGTCGAGCGAGTCCAGGGATGAGGGTGCGAAACAGTCGTCGTCGGACGACGAGCCGGCTCCGACGATCACCACCTCGTCGGCGATAGGCGGGGTGGTTGAGATCGTCACCGCGTTAGGTGGAAGCTGGGAACACAAAGGTTTTGCTGTGATGAACTCGTTAAGGTTTCGACACATTTTAATGTTTTCTAATAGGAACCAGTATTTAGCGATTCTGATGGTAAAACCGCAATGTGGCTCTACCACAAGCCATGTGGTGGCGGCGTAAGAGAAGTTTTCGTTGGAGCATGATTGGTTTGGCTCAACCGGGGAAGAATCGCGTTTTCACAGAATACCAGCGTGAAATAGATGCTTAATGCTGCTGTGTTTCGATTTAGAAGAGGAGAAGATTAAATAAAAGATGGATAAAATACTAAAATAATATTGGTCGTTAGAGAACTGCTGAGTTAAATAGTTTTCAATTCTGAGCCAAGTACTTCATGCTGCTATAATACAGTTGTAACATGGTTCAACCATAGTAAGTTGTTTTTGATGTGTGAATATGCAGGATGTAGTATGTTGCGTGTATAGTATAGGCTCAACTATGTAATTTTTAATGTGAGTGTGAGGATAAAGGACATAGGGTGTAAGCATGTAGGGTGTGAGCTAAATTATGTAGTTTTCGAAGTATGTGAGGATGCAGGGTGTAGGGTGTAGCATGTGAGTTCAACTACGTAAAATTGTTATTGAAGTGTGTAAGTATGCAGAATGTAAGTTGTACGATCTATGGGCTCAACTATGTAAAGTAGTTATTGATTTGAGCGTAAGTATGCAGGATATAGTGTAGCAATTAGGGTGTGAAATCAGTTATGTAAAGTAATATTTGATGTGTGTATAAGGATTCAAGATGTAGGGTGTAGCATCTAGAACGTAGATTTAATTACGAAGTTTTTGATGTCAGTGTGTAGATGAAGGATGTAGGCTGTAGCACGCAGGGTGTGAGGTCAACTATGTAATTACGAGGATTCATGATGTAGGGTGTAGCGTGTAGTATGCAGGTTTAACTACTTAGTATTGTGTGTGTGAGGATGCAGGATGTAGATTTGAGTGTGTGCTAACTATGTGAAGTTGTTTTTGAAGTGTGGGTTGTAGGATGTAATTTTTGGTGGTAGGCTAGCATGTAAGGTGTGAGCTCAACCATATAAAGTCATTTTTGAGGTGAGTCTGAGGTTGTAACATGTAGGGTATGGGCCCAACCATGTAGATTTTTACATAAGTGTGAGTATGATAGGGTGTAGGGCGTCCCCCCCGAACGGGTTCCCGCCTTTTCGTGGCGGGGGGGGGGATTAGTAGCCGTGGTCCAAAGGTCCAAAGAGGAAGCCCCACATGACTGGCCCGAGGGGAAGGTCCAAGGTGGCCACTCCGAGTGGACTTGGCGAGCCCACTTCGGATGTGTGCTGGCGTGCTGCGGCGAGGAGTATCCCCTACTTCTACAGCCGAGGTGTGGTGTAGTATGGCGATGCGCTACTCGCCCTATCCACAGCGACTCAAACGAGGCCTTACAGTTGATGCGGTAGTGGTGGGGCTGCGGGGGGAGAGGAGTGTCCGTGTTGCGAAGCGCCGCTCTCTCTACCCTCTGCAGCCGAATCTTGGTTGGTGGCTGAGCCATAAAACAGATCCGTCGATGCGAGTCCGGCATAACCCGTTCTTGCCCGCACGAGGCAGGTATGTGTAGACATTACCCCATGTTAAAAAAGGATGTACGGCGTAACATGTAGGGTTTGTATTTAACTATGTATGTAGTATTTAATGTAAGTGTGAGGATGCATGGTGTGGGGTGTGGGTTCTACTTTGTAAATTAGTATGAGTGAGGGTGAAGGATATAGGGTGTAGCATATAGGGTGTGGGGTCAAGCTTGTAGATTTTATGTGTATGAGTTATGCAGGGTGTAGCATGTAGGATATTGGTTGTGCGGTGTAGGGTACAGGTCGTGTGCTCAACTATGTAAAGCAGTATTTAACTTGTGTTGTGTAAGTATGAGGGGTATATAGCATGTAGGGTGTGAGGTGTAGGATGTAGGTTGTGTGCTTAACTAAGTAAAGCAGTATTTAACGAGCGCGAGTGAGTGTGGGGTATAGGGCTTAGGGTGTGAGTGCGGGATATAGTGTTGGGTGTGGAGTGTGGCGGTACCGTGAGCGCGGTGCTGAGCACGGGCGGGTGCGTAGTGGTGACAGTGACGAGGCCGGCGGGCGACGCGGCCAGCGAGTTGGGCTCGGCGCTCACCGCCACCACCGTCACCGCTGCCGTCGCACCAGCTCGACGCTCACTCTCGCGTTCCCGTGCTGATGGTGGCTGTCAAAATAGATTAATTAATAAAAATTACAGTTTTTTAAGTTACAGTTTCCGTACATGATAGATCCACGCCACAGCAGTCGGTGCACTGCAGGCAGGTTTGGCAACGGCTGTACATTTTTTGGGTTGTTATCGGAATAACGCTGCTGCCCATCTTCTGTTTAGGTTTCCTTCTGTAGCCAACTTTAATTATCCGATAAGAATATACTTACTTTCTCTTTCACATTTGTTCTTTTCATGAACTATTGAACTATCCTTGCCTAAGTATCACCTCCATCAAAACCAGGACAGACAACCTTTATTTTGTAAGGAATGTTGGACAAAAATTTGTAACTTGATACTCTCTTTATGTTTATTATTTGTTTTTATTCTTTATGTGTATATATTGTGTAATCGCCGCCATCGATACAATCACCTTTCGTCATGCGAACACGTACGGGCCAGCTCAAATCTTGTGCTTTATCAAATTTATAATAATGGCAACATTATGTCAGATTACTTTATATTGCTTCCATAAAAAACATACTGTTGTATCCTTAAAATATCAAAATGGTGGAGGTTTGACAAGGACGGTTGAAGGTGAGTGCCCTTTGATCCACTAGGCTTAGATACCCAAACGAAAATCTAGACCCGCTCCACTGACTATCGAACGTCACCCTAACTCACGCATATTAAATAATTTGCAATCAACATGGTTTTATATGCATGCGCAATTCAAGAAATTGAGCATGACTTCAGACTGAACAGAGACTCTTTCGGACTTAACAATTATAATAATAAAAAAATGATCAAAATTCAATACTTACCGTAACAGGCCTAATCTCTACTGCATTCTGCTGTCTTTTATTCCTTCTGTCTTCTTCTTGGTCCTCAACAGAACTCGACCTTGAATATTCCTTCTTCTCTAACCTTCCCACTCTCGTCACTTCTATGCTCACTCTGTCCTTGTCGTCCACAGACCTGGATCTGTTCTCCCTTTCTATTCTATTTACTTCTGTGCTAACTCTATTCGTCTGCACGAAACTCCTGTCCAGATCCGTGGAGGTGGACCGCGAGCGTTCCTTTTGGTCTCTTATTTCTAGGTTGACTCTCTTGTCCTCCGGCGTCTCGGGGGTTGTTAGTCTGTGGTCGGGCTTTGGTTTGACTTCGTTGATTTGTAACTTTTCTGGTGTCTTCTCCGCCTTCTCTTCGACAACTTTTTCGGCTTCTCGGCATACCTATTAATTAACGTTGCAAATTTTAAAGTACACAAGCAACCAGGGTTTGATCTCCACCGGCACTACAGAAATTATCAATAGTAATTTACAATTTCTATGGTGCCAGTGGAGTGATTTATCGTGTGCTAGGCGGTAAAGGAAACGTAAGAGTTGAACACATCGTTTTATAATCTGCATGTCAACATCATCATCTTTGCAGCCATTCACACGTCCAAAGCTGAACATAGGCCTCATGCAAAGAATATCACAAAGAACAATACTGAGCTGACAGTGCGGTGCCTCTCTTAGAAATGAGAGGGGTCTTGTGCCCAGCTGTGAAACGTAAATAGACAAACGTTACTAGCTTCCTGCAAAATTATTCTATAATATTTTCCCCAACTAATGTCAGTTTGTAAGCCTTTCTCATTTTTTGCCAGTTTACGGTATGTGTTTCTACCATTGTAAAAAAAATTCGCTATCAACAACTATAAAATCCAAAACAAAACAATAATATATATGTGCATACTACATTTTAAGTATCCTCTCGTTCCACGTCAGTCTTAAAAAATTCCCTGATGGATCTGGGTTTGTTATATAGTTGCTTGCCTTATAATTAAATCACGCTTGGCCTGACTGACAATCACAGAGCATCACACGGATGCCACCTATCGAAGAATTTTTCTGGTAATTCTCATAGCTAAGATAGGTTACCTGATCGACGATGTGTCTTCCGGCGGCTGCCGCTGCGGGCGGGGGAGGAGCGGGCTGCTTGCGGGGGGTGCGCGGCGCGGGGGGCTCCACCGCGGAGGGTGAGGTGTGGGCGCCAGCGGACGCGGGGGGTTGTGGGCGGGATTGGGGTGGTGGGGCTCGTGGGGGACGTAGGGGACGCGAGGGACGATGGGGTGGAGGCGGGAACGGCGGGGCTCGTGGGGGATGCAAGGGATGATGGGGTGGAGGCGAGAGCTGCTGGGCTCGTAGGGGACGAGAGGGACGATGGGGTGGAGGCGGGAGCCGCGGGGCTCGTGGGGGACGCAAGGGGGGTGGCCGGAAGGGCGGGCGCGCTGGGGGGAGACTGCGGCATCGCGGGTGGTGGCGGCGCCGGCCCTTTCTCCTTCTTGGGGGCCTGTAGACAATATTCCATTTGAATAAAATTAACCCTCGATTATTCATTATATTAGAATAAAGTGTAAGTGCAATATAGATTAGAACACTAACTGAAAGTCATTTTTGCTTTTACCACTTTTATATTAATTTATAATGTATAATTTAATAAGAAACTATTCAAAAATGGCATGGTAGCAATAACCTCATTTTATTTACAATTGCTATTTTATAATATAAGGATAACAAATAAATTAACAGTCCATTTTATTGTATGAGGCACTATATCATCGACACAATATATATTGGTGACAGCACAAATGCTTCAACATGTCAAATGTTTTTACGTGGTAGAGCCATGCTGCAGTTATATTAGTAATATAGTTATAGCAGGAATGGGTCGGCTCGACCGGAGAAGGACCACGCTCTCACAGAATACCAGCTTCAAATAGTAGCTTAATGCTGCTGTGTTTTCTATGGTGAGTGTAGAGAACCGGAGACCCTTTTTACTGGAAATGAGGCATTCCACCTAAGTTCTCACGGATGACAACGCATCTGCATTTTGATTCGTAATCGAGGATAGATTTAGATGTCTATGGGCCACATCAACCACTTACCGTCAGGTGGACTGTGTGCTCGTTTGTCATCCTATCCTATTAAAAAAAATTGGGAAACCACACACACACAGAATCACAAATAATCATGAGTATGGAAAACTGGGCCACATTTCATTCTTGAGACAATCATTCCATCTTAGACCTCAGCAGTAAAATGCATCTGCAAGATGTTTCTAAGCAGGAAAAGATTGTAGATTGTGTATGGGCCACAGCATATACTTATTATCATCATACTTCAACCGATTCCTACCAAGGATGTTACGTGAGGCTATTGAAATTAAAAAACATCCTAATTTCAATAGAGAAGGAGGCTGGGTACTACCACCTGCTTGGGATCCTATAATCAATAAAATTAAAACTAAACCCAAGCATACCACTGCAAGACCTCAGGACATAGTCAGTTCATTTTGCATAGATCGGACCATAAACAATAATTAAAAAAGCTGAAGGTACTCCGGGTTTAACAATGACATCGGGACGTCGGTCATCTCAGTCCCCCGTGACCATGGGTGCTGGAAAGCGCCCGAAACGTCGGGAATTAAAAATAAACGTAAATAAAAATTAAAAATGAACGCGATAAAATCCGTAAAAGCAGTTTTAATCATCATACTTCAAATTAAAATTGTTTATTGCATGTCACATTACAAATTTAAAATGTTATATTATTGAACATGTGACGTCCTGCAAGGGCATAGCAATACTAGAAGGGCTAGTGCTGCTATGCCATTGTAGGTTTACTTTTATTTTGAGAATTTTCAGATTATATGTTTTACTTAATTAGTTTGCTTTATATGTGGTAGAGCCACACTGCAAAAATGTTAGATGTAGCACAAATGAGTCGGCTCGACCGGGATAGGACCATGATCTCACAGAATATGAGTGTATAATAGCGGCTGTGTTTCGTATGGTGAGTGTAAGTAACCGGCTACCCTTTTTACTTAAGAAGGCCATTAGAGCAATATATAATTTAAAACCAAAAGAGTCACTGAGACAAAAATTTAAAGAAATTAATATATTAACTCTGGCCTCTCAATACATTTATGAAAATGTAATGTACGTACACAAAAATAAAAGTAGTTTTGCGAAAATAAGTGATATTCATTCTGTAAATACTAGGAACAGACACAAGCTGGTAGTACCAGTTACTCGACTCCACCGAGTCAGTAATTCATTCTTGGGGCGATGTATACGCTTTTACAACAAAATCCCAGAAAATATACAAAGTTCAAAAATGTTATTAAACTAAGTTTGTATAAAAAGGGTTATTATAATATTAAGGAATTTATAGATGATAATAACCCCTGGGAAGGGTGATCGCTACCAAGCTATTTCTAATTTGTCTTGTGTTGTTGATTGTAAACATGATTGTAAGCTATTATTGGAAAAAAATAGTCCCGCTGGGTTTCTTGCTGGTTCTTCCCAGGACAGAGGTTTTTTTTGCGAACCAGTGGTAAATTAAAAAAGTGACCTTCAATAAGTATTTTTATAATCTACATTGAATAAAAAAGTTTCTATTTCTATTTCTATTACTGGAACAAGCCATTGCATCTTGGTCCTCAGGGGTGACAATTTAGGTTCTTAATCGCGTATGAATGTAGATGGCCACAGCATCTACTTACCATCGAGTGGACCGTGTGTACTTGATTGTCATCCTTAAATACAGAAAAAAAAACTCTAAGGGTCAGTTCACACCGAGGCGCGACGCGACGCGACGCGACGATGCTTGTACAGGCTAGTGGTTCCCGACGAAGCACGGATGCGGGGTGATGCGCCCCGTTACGCCGCGGGGCATTTTTGAATTATCTGAACAAAATTTGTACCTTTTTGTGTAGTAAATAAAGATATATTTTGCATCTTAAAAAGTGTGAGCCACGTCGCGTCACATTGCGGTGTAAACTGACCTTAAGAGATGAAAATGGTATCGGGTGAGTACTTCCATTATAGACTACAAAAGTTTACTAGCGAACAGAGGAACGTGATCATTTGATATGCTGCATAGGTAGTGAAGTATACTCACGGGTGCCTTTCTGTCAGTGAGCTGGTGGTCGTCGTCGTGTGGACGCTTGGGGGCCGGCGCGCCGGGCTGTGGGGACGGGGGGCTGGCGGCGCTGGCGGGGGGTGCGGGGGGCGTGGGCGGCCTGGGGGGTGTGGGGGAGCGTGCGGCGTGTGTGGCGCGGCCGGGCTGGGGGTCGCCGCCGGCAGCTCCTCCGACACTGCGGATGATGATATTTTTTAATTAATTCAGGCTATTTCACTCTCTTCTAAAAATATACATACCATATATCTATTTAAAAAATAAAACCTCTACAAAAGCTAACCAGATGTTTTCTATTTAAAGTACATGATGACAAGCGATGGTAAGTCGATGCTAGGGCCCATAGACATCTATATTTATCCTCAATTAAAAATCAAAATGCAGATGCATTGTCACCCCTAAAGACGAAGATGGAATACCTCGTTTCCAGTGAAAAGGCCACACATATATAGCTATAAATGACCATCAATAAAATGTAGATTTGATTCAGTGCACTTAGACAGACAGTTGACTTTTTAGACCGACAGGCCGGAAACTACAGACTTTCTGTGGTTTCGGTGCTTTGCATTAACTATATGTTCTACATGTAACAGCTCAGTCCCTCCCCCAGTACTATAAAGCACCCTAAACGTTGGGAATTAGAATCCATGTATATGTAAGAAATCAATAATTTTCTTAATCTTGGTTCTCATATAATTATTTTAACAAGTGGTATAATTAAGAATTTTGTACAACCGACTTCAATATATATAAAATGAGAACATCATCAATGTAGTCGAAGTCAATTAAATACGCATTATTAAGTATAACTCAAAAACTACTGGTCAGGTCTTGATCAAATTTATATGGGACCACATGAGAAACACAAGCTATTAAATAAAAAAGAAAAATCCAAATCGGACCACCTAAAAAAAGTTCTGAGTTAACACACACAAAACAATACATTCGAATTGAGAACCTCCTCCGTTTTTCGAAGTCGGTTGAAAAATAAATCAAAGAGATAAAATACTCACTCTTGATGTCCGGCGTCTCGCCCGACCTCACCGACGTCGAGTCATCTTCCATTTCCATATGCATCTGAGAGCTGCGATGTTCCTATAAACACAAAAAGCTAATTTTCAACAAATGTAATTAAATACAGTTTCAAACAGTCCAATTTTCAGGACATATCTGAGATTTTTTACAACCCGATACTTTAGATACTTACTAATTATATTTTACGATTAACAATTTAGATGATAAAAAAACAATACATGTTACACTAATCTGTAACAGATTGATTATGTACATGTATCAGAATTTACATTCGTTCATTAATTGGACCATTTCAACCTATAAAACATAAATTTATTCTGAAAGATAAATAAATTTGTCTTGAGGTCGAAGCCCTATTATATGATGTTAAGTAATCATTTTCAAATAGAATTAAAACTTAGGAATGAGCATATCCGCAGTAGAACCAGAGTAACCGACATAGCCCAACGGATTAGTAAATTGATGTGGCAATGGGCCGGCCACATAGCTGGAAGAATCGATAACCGATGGGGAAAAAAGATTTCCTTCATCGATGAATCATCTTCAAGAAAACTGAATGTAGTACTTGCAGTTTTTGAGAAGTCTTTCATACTTGGAAATAAACTTTAAAAAAGCCTCTGGATCATTATTTTAGCCAGTTTAAGACTTGAATCATTTCTGCACAACATGGTCCAGTCACAGAATATCAGCAGTCCACCTGCCGAATGTAGGCCTATCCATAAATCTATTATAAATTCAATCGCCATATAGGGGAGATATTTGTCATTGTTTCTACCGGGTATGTAACAGCCGGCTCTTACGTTATCCAAGTACATGGGGTAGTGGAATCTATAAAATATACACAGCACAGTATTTACATACAAAATTTTTTTATTAGATAGATCATTTTCAGTAGTAGTGTATGTCCATTTAATTGCGATACTGCAAATAGAATTAATTATCTTAAAATGCCTTTTTTATTATGATGAATTACCTGTTCAAAATGTTTTTTAAGTAAACAATCGATCATCTAATATAAACTTATACTAATACTACTATAATATTTTTAAGATAATCCTATTTAATGTAAGATTGGCCAATAGCAATGAAAGAACAATAGACAAAATGAAACAAAACACTTAAAAATGAAGAAACATTAGATAGCAGTTTACAGAAAGAAAATGTTGCTTTTAAAAAAACCGGCCAAGAGCGAGTCGGGCCACGCTCAGTGTAGGGTTCCGTAGTTTTCCGTCCGTCACAATAAGTGTTCCCACTTATGAGTTTAAAGGTGGGTATCCATTATGTTCGCGCTCCAGCAGCGCTCCGCGCTCCTGCAACTGCTCCCGGTAGTGGGTGGGTGTTTCCATCCAAGTTCAAAATGATTTTCCTAGAAAGTCCTTATAAAGTTCTACTTTTCAGATTTTTTTCATATCTTCTAAACTTATGGTTCAAAAGTTAGAGGGGGGGGGGGGGGCACATTGTTTTTTACTTTTGAAGCGATTATTTCCGAAATTATTGACATTATCAAAAAATGATTTTACTAAACCCCTATCATTTTTAAATACCTTTCCAACAATATATCACACGTTAGGATTGAAATTAAAAAAAAAAATCACTTCCCACTTTACATATAGGGGGGCTACCCTAATAAAACATTTTTTTCCAATTTTTATTTTACCACTTTGTCGGCGTGATTGATACACATATTGGTACCAAATTTCAGCTTTCTAGTGCTAACGGTCACAGAGATTAAGCGAGGGCGGACAGACGGACAGACAGACATGGCGAAACTATAAGGGTTCCTATTTGACTACGGAACCCTAAAAACTTACATATTTACAACGGGAACATAATTTAACATATCAAAAACCAAAATGATAGGCACATAAATAAAAAAGATAAGGGTTAATAAATAATACGGGTAGTTGACATTCTCTCAATTGAAATGTTCTTTTATGTGTAAAAACAAAACTTCTATATAAATTGTATGGAATTAGAGGAAGGAATAACAATATAGTATGTGAGGGTAATTTGGTCATCTAGTTAATATGTTCACTTTCTTATAACTCAAAAGCCTTGTTTGCATAGATGGCTCTGTGATATGATAGCTTTTCATCAGTCAATCAAATAGTAAAGGGTCAAAGGGTCGATGCTTTATCGACGCCATTTTGACAGTCGGCATTAAAGGATATGTTCCGAAATGTTTCCAGTATACTGGCCAATGCAAATGACGTCATTAATTGACGCCATATTCCACCATATTCGTTAAAACGAATCACCAGGATGGCATCGATTTATGACGTCATTTGCATTGGCCAGAGTATTGGGTTGTATTTCGGAACATACCCATAGTAAATGTTATATTCGGTTTTAGTATGGTGTAGTGTAGTTAATTTTATTTTAATTTGATTTTTCAAAGTGTCCTAATCCTAATATTGTTTAAGCTTGTTTTTTTTTTAATTTATTAGTTATAGTATAGGGCTTTATATTTTTGTCTCTATCCTCCTATTAGTTTTAGTTGTATAGGACTAGAGGACGGCAAAGCTTAAGGTGACCATATTACCCTCGCGTACCTTATATGACGTCATAATAATAACGTATCAACATCTTCACTATCACACTATTACTATCACTGCAGTCACAAGACTACAGCTGAACACAAGCCTTCCCCAAATATTGCCACAACATATGGCATCCGAGGCACCTGCATTCATTGACTATGTGTTTTATCAGGTCAATCACTCCATCAAGTGGGAGACCAATCATTGTAGCTGTATATTTTTGAATAATAAAGTTTAATTAAGACCGTGTAGTGGAGGTGTACGCATTATGCACTACCCCATACCTCCCTGTAAGTGTCGTTACAGGTGACAGTTGTATACAGCGGCAAGAAGCCAGAACACGGGTAGCAACGCTTTCCTAATAACAACTAAAAAGTAAATAATTGCGATTGCCAAACCACAAACCAAGTTTTTTCTTTTAATAGAATAAGGGTGACAAACGAGCACACAGTCCACCTGATGGTAAGTGGATGCTGTGTCTCATAGACATCTACATTTATCCTCGATTAAGAATCAAAATGCAGATGCGTTGTCACCCCTGAGGACTAATTTGGAATGCCTCATTACCAGTAAAAAAGGGTCTCCGGATCACTCACCACTCACACTCACCATACGAAACACAGCAGTATTAAGCTGCTATTTCCCGCTGGTATTCTGTGAGAGCATGTTCCTTCCCCAGTCAAGCCGGCCCATTCATGCTACAACCATAATATAACTGCAGCATGGTTCTACCACGTATGGCAACTATGCCAAATAATCCCCCTATTAGGAAATCTATGGGGAGACCTATTTTTAGCAGTGGACTCTTATAAGCTGTAACAACTTAAAGTAACAAATTCAAATTATATCATATAATTATTCATTAATAATAGAGTCAACTACCCAATCCTTGTTAATATAATATAAAATAAATATATACACATAATTATCAATATGAAGCAATGTCAAAAAAAACATTATTAAAAATATAATATACACAAAGCAAAGCATTCAAAATAATGACACAGAATTTATGTGCCTGCGACAAGATCATTAGTTATCGAAAATTATGAATCTAGTGACTACATTAAAGAGCGTAGAACTTTCGAAGTTTTGCTTATTAGCCACTGTTCAGAAAGTAAAAAGAATACAGGGTTATTTATGAAAGTGTAGCCAGATTTTAAACTTAAGTTCAAATATACTGGATGAGTTTTTACCATCTGGAAAAAATGGCATGTTACAGGTGAACGGAATAGAAGCCTATAAGCACTGATATTTTACAATTTATTTTTATATTCCATTATCATATTATTATGAAATTGGTCTGTCAATAAATAATAATAATTTGAAATAAACTTTCGGCACTACAGAAATAACAATTTTTTGACCTAAATAAATAAACCAATTAAAGCTATCGAAAATAATACGTACCCAATTAGTAGCATTTATTGATAGGTCAATTTCATAATATATTTACCGTAAAATAAAAATAAATCACGTTACTATTTTTTCCAGACGGTAAAAAAATCATCCAGTTTAAACAATAATATACTGTTATTGCAGTTTTTGAAAATACGAGTAAATAAGGCTTCTGCTTTTATTTGAAATTATCCCAAATTGAATGTGATTTATGGGCAACAACGTTTTTATCTAACGATCGACCCTTACAAATGTGTGCGAGCGCAGTAAATTCAGTTAAAATAATGCATTACCACGTATTTTGAATTTAAAAGATAAAAAGAACGGAATGTTAGAGATTTTTTTTATTAATTTTTTATACCTTCTCTGCAAATTTGGCTGCTTATTGCAAAATCAACCTGTATATTGAACATAATACGAAGATACGAATAATATGATTGAAATCAAAATGTGCTAGTGAACTAAAAATATGTTCACAATTATTTAGTGCTGTGGGTGATATAAGCTCATAAGAGACAACTATTGGAAATACCATATAAAACTATTAGCATCTGTCAGATGTCCGATAACCAATTCAATATCTAGAATGGTGAAAATAAGGATGACAAACAAGCACACAGTCCACCTAGTGGTAAGTGGATGCTGTGGCCCATAGACATCTACATATTTATCCTCGTTTAAAAATCAAAATGCAGATACGTTGTGATACCTGAGGACTAAGATGGAATGCCTCGCTTCCGGTAAAAAAGGGTCTCCAGTTCTCTACACTCACCATACGAAACACACCAGCATTAAGCTGCTATTTCACGCTGGTATACTGTGAGAGCGTGATCCCACCCAGGTCGAGCTGACCCATTGGTGCTACAACCATAATATAGCTGCAATGTGACTACCACGTATGAAATCCGTTTGACATGTGTGGCGATTAAAAATTAATCCAATATGGGAGACGCGTTTATTTAGCATTACTTTTTGATTCTGAACCCTTAATAACCATTATTTATTTGGAATATCATACAGTAATTTTGGTATATCTTAAAGTAATTTCCAATCACAAAACTGCAAATGATTATAAATAAAAGAAACATACGACACTAAAATAAACTGTAACTCAGTGATAATAAAGCTCAAAATCGCGTGTACCTTCGACGACGGCGGAAGCTCTCGCGGCTGGCCGTCCGATTCGCATGCAATGTAAGCCATACACAAACAACACAATTAACGCACGATGTTCGACTCATCAAACTTGGTAACACAATGACACAACACATTTTGAAGATATGATCAATAGTGGCTGGCTAGTACACTAAGTCCTGGATTCGAATCTCAACTAAACCTAAACAAGAGCCTGTTTCACTAGATCTCCATAGATAGTTGTACCAATCTAGATGGACTCCTTTTAGTCCATATAGATCGGTACAACTCTCTATTTTGGTCGAGCCGAATCTCACCCAATCTAACGTGGAGCAGAGACGGAGGGGGGAGTCTCGACGAACATCATGTAATTTTCGTCCGCAAGAAACGGTATAAAATTGCGAAAAATAGTAAGAATAGTAGTATAGTAGGGGTAACGTTTTTGAAAATTAATTTAAAAAGAAAATCTTTCACTGCTGTCAAGCTATATTGTTTGCAATGCTGTGTTCCGGTTTGAGCTGTATAAAGTCAATATAATTACACGCTGTAAGGTATTCCATGTGAGTCCACTGTAGTGACAAAGCATCTTTAGCCACTTATCATCAGGTGTACTGTACTGTGTAATGCCATGTTGGTCGAATTTAATACGTATAACCCGAAACAATAGTGAACAATGGGTTGATGCATCACAAAAAAGATTGGTCAACTCCTGTTACGTTGGTGCTTGTATTGGGGCCAATGTTATTAGCAATCTACATGTTTGGCGAACAGTATTGGGAGCAACTTAGGACACCAACCTATTGATATCTTTCAATTATTCAGTAAATGTGGCCCTGTTCGTAAACCAGCATCATCGATTACCAAACCTTTATGACATTCTTAGTACAACTACCACTACAATGGGTTCCATCAACACCATATACTAACCAATTCTCTGGTACTGTTCCTTATTCTTAAGTCTGCTTTTCCTTTTAGTCTTTGATCATGAATCAAAAATTGCAGATCCAATGTTAGTAAGCATGTGAGGAAAGCATGAACACGTGATATATTAGTAAACACAAATATAATAAATATATTAAGTTAATATAGTAATACAGATACAGTAATGATAGTTAGAATTAAATTTTATATAATATAAACTATTAACAACCTGCCCCGGTTTAGTCTGGGTGGCGTTATAAAATCTCGTCTTTTCCCTGCTATAATATGTATGTATTATACATATAAAGCTTCATCTTGCATCATTCTGTCTATGTATGAAAATCACAACAAAATCCGTTGCGTAGTTTAAAACATTTAAGCGTACAGACGGCGAGAAGCAACTTGGGTTCATGCTTTGTAGAGATATTTAAGTATAATACTGAAGTTTATTTATTTTTATAGTATAAGGGTGACAAACGAGCACACAGTTCACCAGATATTAAGTGGATGATGTGACTCATAAACATTTACATTTTTCCTAGATTAAGACTTAAAATGCAGAACCGTTGTCACCTCTGAGAACTAAGATGTAATGCCTTCGTTTCGAAACACAGCAGCATTTAGCTGTAATTTTATATTGGTATTCTGTGAGAGCGTGGTCCTTCGAGCCGACCCATTCGTGCTACAACCGTTGTAGCCGCATTGTGGCTCTGCCACGTAAAAAATTATATACTAACTTATTATTTTAATCACTAATGGCTACTCGATTTAAAGATGTTAAGTCTCGTGGTGTCACAGTCACTTTGACTTAAAGTGATAGAGACAGCATGAGACGTAACAGCGTCTTAAAATTGAGTAGTGTTTGAGTACTTGGGCATAACTGTACTAAATAAAACATTAACTAAACTGAATCTGTTTGAATTTGACGGATTTTGATATAAATTCCACCATTATTTAAAAAGTTCATGCGGAAGATTTTCTTGTATGATACTTAAATAGTTTATGCAAGGAGCGTTTTATTGAGTAATTTTACGAAAAGTTTAAAATCAATAAATTATGCAAGAGATAGAATGTTAAAAGAGAGATAATGAAAAAAGAAGCTTATTTTTCTGGAAATTTTGCAAAATTTCTAGAAAACGATGTTTTTTTTTTTTCATTTTAATATTTTTCTGATAAAATTATAAAATGTTCAACTACCTAACTAGTTATAAGTAAGATAACACCACTGGCTAATCATATCGGTGCTAAGCTGGGACAGTCAATAGTTCTATGACAAATTTAGCCGGCCATATTGATGTACCAATTTATAAATATTACAAAATCCTATAATATAGTGACATGATCTCACCTCTGAATCGTCGTCGAGGAGCTCCTCTTCAACCACCTCAGCCCTGTATTCGAGTAGGAGATCCCTAAGCGGCTTTGAGTCCAGGTCCCCACTGACAAAATCATGCTTGAGCAGATCGCTCGCAGTCGGCCTCTTCTCTGGATCCTGAAATGAGCACAGTATTAATAATAATAAATCTTATATAAAAATCTCATTTCATAAAAAATGTTCCACCGTGCTCTCTTATATTTATCATGAATTTTTTTTGAATACATTTTTTCTAATTTAGGTTAAGCTTACTTGAATAATTTCTCACCATGAAACTGGGAAGGTTCGTGGATGACTTACATCCAAAATGATTTAGGTTTGAAAGAGATTCTCATAATTCATTTAGTATGTAATGAATGGTAATGGTATTTCAATGACCTGAAAGACCTGTTCGTAAGATGAATAAATACTTGAATTATCGGGTCACTAGAAATGAATGAATGATACAATGTGTAAAAGCGCACTTTTCGCCATTTTGACAAGACAAATCTCTGACGTCATAAAAACTTAGACTCAAATTTAAAGTCATAACAGGGGTCAGAAGTAGTGTACCTTGACAAGCGCCTTGGCGATGAAGTCGTTGAAGGCCTTGCTCCAGCGCGAGGGCTGGTCGAGGCCGGGCGGGTCGCTCTTCTGTATCTTGAGCAGCACCCGCATCGGCGTCATCTCGTGGTTGGGCGGCTCCATCTGGGCGAACTCGATCAGCGTGATGCCCAGCGACCAGATGTCCACCTGTTGTGTTGGCCAAAATTTTACTTTAGCATTAATTATTTATCAAGCACGAGACTATCGAAAAAATACTCAAACGCTACTCAATTTTAAGATGTTGGTAGAGTCTCGTGGTGTGCAATAACTAATCTCAACACCACTACACTAGAGAAGACACTCCACCGTCACATAGAGGTTATCAAAGATTGTCTTTCCTAGTGTAGTACACCCCTGAGGACTAAGATAGAACGCCTCATTACGACAAAAATAGTTTCTGGCTCTCCCCACTCACCATATGAAACACAGGAGCATTGAGCTGTTGTTTCACTGTATTCTATGAGAGCATGGTTCTTTCCCGGTCGAGCCGACCCATTCATGCTATAGATAGCTGCAGTATGGCATTACCACGCAAAAAAAAATGATTATATGAGGGCCCACGTCCAGCTGTAGACAGTTTAAGTGCTAAAGGAAATGTAATGATCATCACAATATTACCTTGAAATCGTACGGGTTATCTCGAAACGTCTCGCACAGGACCACTTCCGGCGCCATCCAGTACGGAGTTCCGATAAACGTGTCGTGCTTTTGCAGCGTCGACTTATTCTTCGCCGACACTCCAAAGTCAGCTGTAAAATAAAAAATGGTTCAAACACAATTGTATCCAACATTAACTAGATATGTTCGGGTTGACTCTACATGATAGGATTATCTATAATATGATGGTTTGGACACAATGAAAGAATGAATGGGGAAAGAGTGACAGCAAATTTAAGATGCAAAAGTGTGTGGCAGAGGTGGCAAAAGACGCCCTTAGATTATTGAACTAATTGGCAAGTTAAGAGTACTATTAAACCACGAGGATGTATGCATAGATATATGGATGTGAAAGAAGCTAGAGAGATGAATCACGGACATGCTAATTGGAAATGTATAAGTCTCTGCCTAACCCTCTGGTTGAAAGGCGTGAGACTTTAAGGTTTTATGTGGGTCACAAACAAGCACACTGTCTATAGTATATCTATCCTTAATTCAGAATTAAACTGCAGATGCATTGTCAACCTTGAGGATCAATATGGAATACATCATTACATATCAAAATGGTCTCTGGTTCTCTACACGAAACAAAGCAGCATTAAGCTGATATTTTACGCTGGTATTCTGTGAGAGCGTGGTCCAACTCTGGTCGAGCTAACCCATTTATATCACAACTATAATATATCTGCAGTATGGTTCTACCACATATAAATTTTTTTCTCATCCTTCTATCCATTACAGCCTATAGAGGTCCACTGCTCAACATAGGCCTCCTCTAAACATTGCCTCATAAGGTGGTAGAGCCACGCTACAGCTATTATAGATGTAGCATGAATGGGTCGGCTCGACCGGGAAAGGACAATGCTCTCACAGAATACCAGCGTGAAATAGCAGCTAAATACTGCTGTGCTTCGTATGGTGAGTATAGAGAACCGGAGACCTGTTTTACTGGAATCGAGGCATTCCATCTTAGTCGTCAAGAGTGCATTTTGATTCTTAGTTGAGCTTAAATGTAGATGTTTATGTAAATGTAGTCTATGGGCCACAGCATCCACTTACCATCAGGTGGACTGTGTGCTTGTTTGTCACCCTTATACTATATAAAAAAAATATTTTCCATAGGTGGCACACTTGGCAGGTGGGTTTGCAACCGCAGTTATCTATTATTTTAAGCTGTTGTCAGGAAGATGCTGCTACTCATCTTCTTATGCAACAACCACCGGACGACATGGGGCATCGTATTTTCTAGCGGCTCGACGATTGATATTATAGTATCCAGTTGTTGCCATCACTGACCGAGCTTGACGCCGCCGGTCATGGTGGCCAGCACGTTGCCGGCCTTCAGGTCGCGGTGGATGACGCGCCTGGAGTGCAGGAACTGGAGCCCGCGGCACATCTCGCGGCACACGTACGCGATCTGCGCCTCGTTGAGCCCCTTCTCCAGTTCCGACATCACAGAGTCCAGCGCGCCACCGTCGCAGTACTCCAGCAGCATCTGTGGACCGGATGGGCAAATCTCGTTATCACCAGATGTATGGCTGGGTTAGACAAATTGATTTACTACACTCGTTAAGGCTTATATAAATTGATAGTAACATTCATTTTTATAGTTTACTATTAGCAATATGCCCGAACTGCAAAATTGAAGTGCTGACCGATTATTTTTATGAAAAATTAACGAAATTACTTTATTTGCCTCAGAGGAGAAAATAAGCAATATTCCCCTGTTTTCTGCTCAAATAATGGACCAAAATAATTTTTTTTTTCAAGAACAATATTAATATTTATTATATTGTGTAAGGATTAGGTTTATGTCTGTATATTTTTTGATACTCATTAAATTTGTTTGAACTTTGAGTAATTTTAAAAAGTTGCTAGCCCCTAAAGATATAAATTTATTATAAAACCAAAACATAGATTTACAATGGTGGATGATCTGGTAGTTTGAAACTCCTAAATATTCAAATACTTTGCAGCATCTATGATCACAAAGAAACTAAGGTGTTTAACATATTATTTAATATATGACTCGGGCCTATTTGTCCAAATAACTGAATAAATCTGTGATCTGATGCTAAAAGGGCCAATGTAAATTTTTTTTAGAAATGAGATTTTATTTGTGTATTATTTTCAAATTTTCGCATTATTTTACATACCTTTTGAAAAAATTGTACAAAATAGTGTTTCTTGCTGGTTCTTCCCGGGACAGAAGTTTTTTTTGCGAACCAGTGGTAAATGGTAAATAAAAAATAATGCGCAATAAGTATTATACAATAATAAATATTAAATAAAAAAATCATTTATTTCAGAGACTATTAATAAACGTACACCCTTTTAGCACAAACAAATTTCATACTTTTTCAATAATATGGCTTTAAAATCTCATTTCTTTAACAAAATTACTTTGGTCCTCTTAGCACCAAGTCACAGATATATAGAACTAGATCTATACTATCACCCGGAAATTTTGCCGCTTCTCTTCGAGATCTATTGTTTTCCTTACACGACTAGCTAGATTTTGTTCAATCATATTTCTTTTTACTGCTGTCCAATCCATATTTTAGAGTATACTTTAAAATACTATATTTTGTCAATTGAAGTAGTATGTACTACATAGTAAAAGGGACGCCGTAACTTGGTTGTTTGCGACTTGCGTTAAGGCAGATTTACACTTCGACAAGTACAGTAGCGAGTTAACTTGCGAACCTGGCGAGTTAAGTCTGAAACTCGTTTGAACGGCAATAAGCGAGTTAAGTTAACGATTAAGTTGAACGGGATAGCCGGCCGAGCTATTTTTCGGCGAGTTAAGTGCGAAGTGCTGCCCTCCCGTGCGTCTCCCGCCACCCGCAACTAAACTCGCCGTTCGTGTAAACGAGCGAGTTTAGTTCAGTGCATAAGTTGACAGGACGCAACGTTTGCGCGCCAAAACGTACAATTGTACTTTTATAATGAAACCCGCCACAAAGTTTGTACGTATTGAATATTTATATGTTTTATATTGAGTTTTAATAAAAAAATGGACGGAAGATATCACGTATAAATTCGAACAGGAGTATTTAGAACACGAATGTTTATATAATAGTAGACGTTCAAATTGTAAAACTAAACCTCCTCGAGATGCTGCACTCATGAAAATTCTTAAAAACTTCTTTAATAACAGCCATTAATACTTCTCTGACTATATCTTAGACTAGACTACTAGACCCTTTTTACTGGAAACGAGGCATTCCATCTCAGTCCTCACGGGTGACAACGCATCTGCATTTTGATTTTTAATAGAGGATAGATGTAGATGTCTATGGGCCGCAGCAACCACTTACCATCAGGTGGACTGTGTGCTCGTTTGTCACCCTATTCTGTAAAAAAAATATCATTAAATTCTTGACGTAATCCTAGAACCATCTTAAACGAAAACCGGAAAAATTTTATAGTCTTGAAACGTCGTACTCCAAAGATCTCTACAAACTAATGTCAACTAAACTCGCCACGAAGACATTATTTGAACGCCACTGCCCACTTAACCGTTTACTGTCAACTGCCCTGTAACTAAACTCGCTACTGTACTTGTCGAAGTGTAAATCGGTCTTTAGTGAGTTATGTAGCAAGTTAACAATTAAGTTGAACGAAATGACCGGCTGGTGTAATTTTCGGCGAGTTGAGTTCGAAGTGTTGCCTACCCGCGCATCTCTCGCCATCCGCAACTAAACTCGCCGCTCGTATGAACGAGCGAATTTAGTTCAGTGCATACGTTGACAAGACGCAACGTGTACGTGTTCGACCTTAAAAATATAAAATTCTACTTTTTTTAAAATATAATTAACTTCTAAACTCGCCACGAAGACATTTGTAAATCGGTCTTAAGGCCGATACACTTCGACAAGTACCGGAGCAAGTTTAGTTACAGAGCAGTTGACAGTAAATGGTTAAGTGGGCAGTAGCGTTCAAACAATATCTTCGTGGCGAGTTTAGTTAAGGTCATTAGTTCATAGAGTTCGTTGGAGTATGACATTTCAAGACTACAGAATTTTTCCGGTTTTCGTTTAAGATGGTTCTAGGATTACGTCAAGAATTAAATGATCCAGTCAGAGAAGTATTAATAATTGTTGTTTAAGAAGTTTTTAAGAATTTTCATGAGTGCAGCATCTCAAGCAGGTTTAATTTTACAATTTTAACTTCTACTATTATACAAACATTCGTGTTCTAAATACTCCTGTACGAATTTATACGTGATATCTTCTGTCCATTTTGTTATTAAAACTCAATATAAAACGTATAAATATTCAATAAACAGTATCGTACAAACTTTGTGGCGAGTTTTATTATAAAAGTACAATAATTGTACGTTTTGGCGCGCAAACGTTGCGTCCTGTCAACTTATGCACTGAACTAAACTCGCTCGTCTACACGAACGGCGAGTTTAGTTGCAGGTGGCGGGAGACGTTTGGGAGGGCAGCACTTCACACTTAACTCGCCGAAAAATAGCTCGGCCGGCTATCCCGTTCAACTTAATCGTTAACTCGCTTATTGTCGTTCAAACGAGGTTCAAACTCAACTCGCCAGGTTCACAAGTTAACTCGCTACTGTACTTGTCGAAGTGTAAATCGGTCTTTAGAGCCATGGGATCAAACTTACTTAGTTTGTGCCAAGGTACTTTGTACCTCCAATGACGCGGGCCGAAATGGCGCACAGATTTTGTTCACGTTATTTGTTCTAGTTCGTAGTACATCTTATTACTTTTATGATTTGGTCCGATCCAAACGTGACAACCCAAATACTGACAAACTAATCACAGTCAGTATATTGTCTAAGGTGACCCTTATTTCACTCACCCAGAGCTTATTATCGATGAAGTACGCCTCGTGTAGCTCCACAACGTTGGGGTGTCGACATTCCGAGAGAATATCGATCTCAACCGTGAAGTCGGCAAGATCGTCCTCGTTGTCCAGGACGCACATCTTCGCCGCGGCCAGCTGGCCCGTCGTCTTGTGCTGGGCTTTGTACACCTGGAAGAGAGGATATAAATGGATCATGTAATTTATAGTTATATAATGACACGGGCTAAGACGTGGTAGAGCCGCTGGATAATAATCTGGTCGCTGCACTAATGGGTCTACTCGACTGGGGAAGACCAAAATCGTACAGTATAGCAGTGTGAAGCAGCTGCATAATGTTGCGGTTTTTCGTATGGTGAGAGTAGTGAACCAGATACCCTTTTTACTGGTTACGAGGGATTCTTAGCCCATAGGGGTGACAACGCATCTGCACTTTGACTCTTAATTAGCATAGATGTGGATGTCTATGGGCCACAGCAACCACTTACCATCAGGTGGACTGTGTGCTCGTTTGTCAATCCTATCCTATAAAAAAATGAGCCAATATTTTGTAGTTACTGCAGTATATTATGATCACAGCACGAAGGGGTCGGCTCGACCAGGGAAGACCAAACTCGTACAGTATGGCAGCAAGAGTAGCTGCATAATGTTGCTGTATTTCGTATGGTAAGTGTAGAAAACCGGAGACCCTTTTTATTGGTAATAGTGCATTTCTAGTACTCAGGGGTGACAATGCATCTGCATTTTTTTATTCTTAATAGAGAAGACGAATGTGCCTCTGGGCCACAGCATCCACTTCATCAGATTGACCGTGTGCTTATGTCATCCTAGTTGTTAATCCTATAATATCCTAGTTCTCCTATAAAATCCTAGTTAACTTATAATATAGCACACTGTGGGAGATACAGTATGTGCACTGATGTGTTCTGGTCTATGAAGTCAGTAAAATTCCAGACCGTAATTCCATCTTAATCCTCACAAGTAGAGAGATTTGACATTGGCCGCAGGTGACTATGGGCTACAGTAGCCACGTACTATCAGGTGATACTGTATGTTTGCGTGTCATTTCAGTTCTATATTTCCAGTCTAGAAATTATACAGAGAGAGAAGGTTGTAGGAACCAGAAAAATGTTCTAGGGGTTCTTTGACAAGAAAAATAAAATTATCTTTTGCATAATTTTTTGCATAAATTGCAACATTCCAGACAATTCTATGGTACTTTTCATACATTTCATTACTTCTAAAGTAAACCACAGTTTTTTTTTTAATTATTATAAGCCAGTCATAATCATCGTCATTCACAAGTCCACTGCTGAACATATATTCCTCGCCCAAGGAATGCCATAAAGCACGGTCCTGAGCCGCCTGCATGTATCGACTTCTTGCGTGTCTTACCAGGTCATCTCTCCGTCTAGTGGGGGGACGCCCTATTTATAAGCTAGTGCTTGACCACAATCCAGGTGAGCAGTAAGTTTGATGAAGCCTTACATAAGTAAATTGCACAGTATTTACATAGCAAAAGCCTATTCACTTTTGCCTTGATGACACCCAGATTGTTATCGGGTGGAAGGACAGACGCCAGCTAATAGTTCTATTTTTAATTATTATGGACAACAAAGCAAACCACTTGATTCGAATCTGTGGAATATCCATAATCTAAGAATAAAGACCCGTCGACGGTCATTTGGAGATTCGAGTAAGCACGAAATACGCGTAGTAGCCGTGTAAGAATATCCATTACCCCATTACATCCCGTGGGTGTCGTAAAACGGTAAAAAATCAGGAGATGGCCAGCAGCGTCTACCTAATAACGAATTAAAAGTAAAAAAACTGCTGTTGCCGACCCGCTTGCCAAGAGTGGCAACTAAGACAAATATCCCCCCTATGAAGTAATCTATGGGGGAGGCCTATATTTAGCAATGGACTATAATAGGCTGTAACGTATAATAGGCTGTAAAGTAAAGCAGGCCAGCATACCTTCCCGAAGGCGCCATCGCCCAGCTCGCCGATCATGTCCCATTGCTCGTTTGGGTCGCAGTTGTCGCGGATGTTGCTGAACACCTTTTTCTTCTTCGCATCATGGCCGCTACCCAGGTGCAGCACCTGAGGAATGGTGATTAATTTACACCCACATACACTACATCACTTGGCTATAGAGTAAAAGTAATTAAAAGCCACAGTCTATGTACGATTGATTAAAAGTAAGTATTATAATGATTTCTTGTATTTACGCGAACACTATACATTAAATGAAACTAATTTTAAGGAATTTTATCGAGTTTAATTTAACCTTTTAATTCCCGACGTTTCGGGTGCTTTACAGCATCCATGGTCGAGGGGGGGACTGAGGTTTTTGAGTTTCCGATGTCATTGTTTAAAAAGTCAAAAACCTCAGCCCACCCCTCGACCATGGAATCTGTAAAGCACCCGAAACGTCGGGAATTAAAAGTTATAAAATCCGTAAAAATCAGTTTCATTTAAAGTAAATTGAAAAAAAAAGAGCTGTGGTAAGTAACTCAGGGGCTAAGCGCTCGCTGTAAATTATACAACTACCCGAGCGATACAGGTTCGATCCCCGCCGGTACCAATTAAATTGTTAATTGCAATTTTATGTGCTGATTTACCACGTGCTCGACGGTGGAGGAAAACGTGAGGAAACCGGCATGTTCGTGTAATAAGAAAAAAAATATTACATGAGAAGTTCGCTGAAACGCATTGGGGCAGTGCGGCGGACACTTCCTTGCCCGAAAACCCACTCAGAAATGAGAGGACTGTGCCTAGCAGTGGGACGTAGGGTCGGAGGACTGCTAGGAGGCAGGGGATTACTTTGCCGGGGCTACTCCCGGAGGACCCGAAAATGATCCCCCAGAGTCGCCCAAGAGCAGTTACAATCCGAGAAGACGGGTGGGCCACCGTAACAGGAAAGGGCAGGCAACCAGACCCCCCCCCCCCCCACCCGTAACACCTATGGAAACGGTGGAACCCGTGGAAGCAAGGGCAACCACTGGGGCGACTCTACAGCCCCCCGTCAATCCCGCCATAGAACGGCAGCCCTCTAGAAAGAGGAGGCGAGAGAGGAGCAGGAAGAAATCGCAGCCTCCTCAGGCTGTCACCTCTACCCCGACACCAGCAGGACCAGTAGCCTCACAGGCGCAGGTTACTCGCGAGGTACCCAAGAAGAGCGTGGGTTGAGTGCCAGAAAGGGCTCTATCAGAAAATAGAGCCCGCTCTACACATAGAGCGCGCTCTACCTACAAGCAAGGAGTGGAAAAATACCAATGCCCGAGACCAGTGCCAACGCCTTTATATAGGAGAACACCATCTGCCGGCTTCGAGACAGCAGACGCCATCCAACATTTGGTTGGCATTGCTATCGAGGTCGGCAGTCAGGTCCTGGCCGACATAAGAGCCGGGACCGACCCGATAACGGCGGTTATGAAGGCGCTGGCAAACCTACTGGCCCAGTATTACGGAGGAGAGTAATCTGCGCCTCCTCTATTGGAACCCGGACGGAATACAGCAGAAGCTGCATGAACTCCGCACAGTCGCCCAACAACAGGACTTACATGTCATCTTGCTGGGAGAGACAAAGCTAAATCCCAAGACGCATTTAAAGCTGCCAAATTACCATATAATACCTATACAGAAGGGACGAGGTCACTTCTCAAGGGGCCGCCTATAGAGCACAGACGGCGGTTCTAGTGAGGAGGGACATCGTCCATCAAGAGCTGGATTTACCTACATACCAGACAATGCGCTCTATCGGCATAAAAATGGAGGCGGCGGGCGAGGAACTAAGGATCTACGCAGCATACCACCCGCCAGGGACTCCATTTTACTCCTCAGACGTCCGGACGATAATGGAAGGCGAAACACCCACCATCATCGCCGGGGACCTAAACGCCAAACACCCGGGGTGGGGGTCCAGAGTGATCACACCGCCGGGTCATGCACTATATGAAGACGCGGAGATAAACAACTATGACGTTTTAGGTCCCGAAGAACCAACACACTTTCCGACAGATCCGCGGAAGCGTCCGGATGTACTGGACATCGTGCTGTCTAGGAACGTCAACTACCCGATAGTGGCAGTACGACCTGAACTCACAGCACCTCCCGATTCTGATCACCCTTGGCACAAAGGCGGTGACTACACCGCCCAGAGCATTCAAGACACGTATCGACTGGAGGCTCTACTACCAACACCTGCAGGAAAGACCTCCAGTCCACCATCCTATAAGCACAGCGGACGATGTAGAGGCCGCCGCTACCAGAATCACCAAAACATCCAGGAGGCCCTCCACGCGGCCTCTACGATCGTCCCAATCACAGCAAGGCAAACAATCTGTCGCGAGAGATATGCATGCAGATCAGGCGCAAGAGAGCGTTGAGGAAGCTCTGGGCGCGTACTCGCTGCCCGAGACTGAAGACACAGTTAAACACCTTGTCGGAGGAACTGTCGGTTGCAGTCCAGGCCTACAGAGGAGAGGCCTGGGATCGGCGCGTATGGAAGGCGGATGAGCACGATGCATCGCTCTATAAACTGAACCGACAGTTGACCAAAGCCAGATCTCCCGTTTGCCCGCTGACCAACAGCGCGGGTGAACGCTGCTACGATGCCAAGGGCAGAGCGGATATCCTAGTAGAGCACTTCGAGGAGCAATTTATGGCGAACCCAGCAAGTGCGGAGTTCATGGAGCTTCATGCCCGGAAGGAGAGTCGCGTACAAGAGTTCCTGTCGTTCCTAGATACTATAATACCCTCAAGTCGCGTCTAAAGAAGTTTTACTTCAAAAATGAATATCGAACGGAAGTACTGATGATGTAACCGTGTCGACGTCCCATGGGCGTCGTAAAAGGTTAAAGTTAAGATTACAGCCCCATACGTCCCATTCCTGGGCACAGGCCTCCGATCATTTCTGAGAGGGTTTTAGGGCGAGGAATTGTTCGCCGCGCTGCGCCAATGCATGTTGGTGAACTTCAGATTTTTTCGAAATATTTTTTTTCTTATTTCTCAGAGATGCCGGTTTCCTCACGATGTTTTCCCCTTCACCGCCGAGCACGTGGTAAATCAGCACTTAAATTAAAATTAACAATTACAATGGTGCCGGCGGGTACGAACCCGGTATGCTCGCGTACTGTGAAATTCACAGCGAGCGCTAACCATCTGAGCTACCGACGTAAAGAATCATCCCCACTTTCCATACATTGATTGACCTGTAATTTGATTCCTTTCACAGGTCGCGTCTACCTACAACTACTGTTGTTAAAAAACAATTATTATTTATAATAACATAATAACTTATCATCTTTTCAATTAGAGCCCAGGAAAAAATGCTATTAAGTAAATAAAATTTTGATGTTATTGTTACGCGCTCCAATGCCTCAAATCGGCGCACTAGCGCCATCTAGTCTCGAACCGAAGAACTAAACTTCTTGAAGTTTAAAACTCGAACTCTCGGTACCTTGCGCGTGTTTACTTGAACATTCTGGATATTTTGCTAATTTATATAAGTAGGCGCTGCAAGATGCGATCGAAGTAGAGTTGAACTCGGCGACACAAGCGAAGCTTCGGAGCGGAATTAAGTGAATTAGTGTGTTTAATTATTAGTGTTTTTAGTTTTCATTTGTGTAAAGAAAATTAAACTGTTAATTTAGGTAATTTTATCGGCAATTTTTATTGTCACGAACCGCAAGCTCGTAACAATTGGTGTCAGAAGTGGGATAAAATCATGCCGATTTTACCTAAGGAGGAAACGGGGGGTGTCCGTACCCGCAGTCAACGCCAGCATGAGACGGACCAGCGGAGATTTGGTGGTGCAACGGCGCAGACGTCGGAGGGCCAACCGCCAGCCACGGAGGCTGCGGGCCCGTCATTAGCTCCTACATCTGCAGCTCCTGACTTAGGTGCTCTGATGGCGATGCTACAGGAGCAGCTGCAGCGCGAACGAGAGGAACAGGCCCGTCTGTTGAAAGAGCAGCAGGAGGAACAGGCTCGCCGACAGGAGGAACAGGCTCGCCGACAGGAGGAACAGGTCCGTCGGTTGGAAGAGCAGCTGCGGGGCGGCCAGGAGGAACAGGCCCGCTGGCAGGAGGAACAGGCCCGTCGTTTAGAAAAGCAACTCCAACGCGATAAGGAAGAGCAGATGCTCCTCATGAAGGACCTTCACGCTACCTTCGGAAAAGAGATACGGGAGGTGAAGGATAAGGTTGCTCAACATGACAACCGCCTGTCGGAAGCTGAAACCCGAATCGACCAAGAATCGACCAAGTAAACAATCGGGTTGACAACGTAATGACTGACATGAGGAAATCACTTGACGAACTCAAACTTGGGGAGGGGAACTACAGCTCCCGTAGTAGCTACTACACCTTCGCTACGTGGGTTCAAGGTGCCACCATTCGACGGGACTTCTTCCTGGTCAGCCTACAAAATCCAGTTCGAGGCTGTTATGAAGGCGAACGGCTGGAATAAAAGTCAGGCCATGACTGCTCTCACACTAGGCCTGCGCGACCAGGCCTTAACAGTTCTGGAAGCTCTCGGTGAGGAAGTGACTTATGAGCAACTCCTTGAGGCATTGGAGGCGAGATATGGCGACGCTCACCTGGAACACGTCTTTCGTGCGCAGCTTAAAGATCGTGTGCAGCGCATCAACGAAAACCTGCAGCAGTGGGCTCTAGAAGTGGAGAAGTTGGTGCGAAAAGCATACCGGTCTGTACCTGCGCTCATTGAAGGGAACCTGGTGCAGACATTCATCGACGGCATCCGCGACCTGGAAGTCAGAGCTGCTGTGAGGCTCGGGCACCACGAGACGCTTAAGGACGCCTTGGCCCATGCACTGGAAGTGGAAGCCGTACGGCAGGATCATCGTTCCCATCGCGTCAGGGAGGTTGCAGCAGCTACAGTTCGCGACCGCAACAAAGGATACAGCCCAAGGTGCTATGGCTGTGGGGAAAAGGGCCATCTTCGATCCAGCTGCCCTAAGCGAACCCTAGAAAGGGAAAGTGAACGATCCCAGGAGGGTAGTGCGGCCAACAGCACCGCCCAGCAGCAGCAGGGAAACGAGTAAAAGCCAGAACTGCGGGGCGGGTGCTGGCTGATGTTAAAAGAGCCCCAAGGATCTCGATCTCACAAACCCATGATGGGAACAGTCTAATCATCAAGGGCGAGGTCAACGGAATGCCGTGTAAACTGACCATAGACACTGGAGCCTCTCGTACGGTTGTTAGTTCCCAACTTATAAGTCAGTTCCTTGGGGACTCCGCATACAACCGAGAACGCATTAATTTGGTAACAGCTACCGGTCAGCGTATACCCGTCCGTGGAGAGAAGGAGATGGAGTTGAAGCTAGGCAACGTGATCTACCTGCATAATGTCATCGTGGCTGATATAATGGACGACTGCATCCTAGGCCTAGACTTTATGAGGAATAATTGTTGTGAGATCGACGTTAAGCAAGGTGTTTTGAAATGTGGACAGGAGGAACTTTTTATGGAAGGTGCGTTACCAGGGTTCCGCCGAGATCGGAAACGATTGTTCCGGTTAGTCTTCCTCGAAACGCTGGGCAAGCTCACCGTTGTGTACTTGTGGAAAGGGTAAACAATGACCTTCCATGGAAAGTAGCTCGAACCTTGGTTAGGACCACTGACATCTCAGGAGTACGTGTGCTGAACCTTTGCGACCGGGAACAGATTATAGAAAAAGGCACACTGATTGGTACCTGTGAGGAAGTGGATTGGTTACGTCGGTGGCAATATATATCGAATGGGACCCCCAGCAAGGATGCAGAAACGAGAGTGACCACACTTTTGGAAGACTGTCGCAGTGTTCTCTCCCCGAACGAATTGGTCAAGGCGAAGAAGTTGTTACTCAAGTACGCCGATGTATTCTCATCAAACGATGCTGACATAGGAAAGACTGGCTTAGTTCAACACAAAATAAACACAGGAGAAGAATGCCTATCCGTCAGCGGCCAAGACGATTGCCGGTAGCACGTGAAAAGGAAGTGGAAACCATGATTGAGGGAATGGTGAAGGATGGTGTTATTGAACCTTCATCTAGTCCATGGTGTTCACCAGTGGTGCTGGTGAAGAAGAAGGATGGCAGCATGCGGTTTTGTGTTGACTACCGCCGTCTGAACGACGTTACGAAGAAGGACAGCTATCCCTTGCCAAGAATTGATGACACGCTGGACATGCTTACAGGAGTAAAGTGGTTTAGCACGCTGGATCTAAAAAGTGGCTACTGGCAAGTTGAAATTGACCCTAAGGACAAGGAGAAAACTGCGTTCTCGACGGGAAAGGGTCTGTGGCAATTTAAAGTAATGCCGTTTGGGTTGTGCAATGCTCCAGCAACGTTTGAAAGGCTGATGGAACTTGTACTTACCGGGCTAATTGGCGATGCCTGTCTGGTCTACTTGGATGACATCATCATCATAGGCCGTACGTTTGAGGAACACCTTCAAAACCTGGAACGCGTGCTCATGAAGATTCAGAGTGCCAACCTCAAGTTGAGCCCGAAGAAATGTTCACTATTCCAACGGCAAGTTAACTTTTTGGGGTTTGTAGTATCGGAAGAAGGTATCCGCACAGATCCAGAGAAAATCGCCGCTGTCAAGGATTGGCCGGTTCCAAAAGACAAGACGCAGGTTAGAGCATTTTTGGGTTTGTGCTCCTATTACCGGCGATTTGTGAAGAACTTTGCAGATATAGCCAAACCTCTGCACAAGCTAACCGAGGAGAAGCGACATTTCTGCTGGGATGAAAGTTGCAATATCGCATTCCAGGAGCTCAAGGACCGTCTGTGCAAAACACCTATTTTGGGATACCCTGATGCAAGCAAAGAATTTATAGTTGACACAGACGCAAGTGATATAGGACTTGGCGGTGTGTTGTCTCAACGGAATGGTGACCAAGAGGTCGTGATAGCGTACTTCAGCAAGTCGTTGTCAAAACCGGAAAGGAACTACTGTGTCACAAGACGCGAATTGCTAGCTGTGGTAAAGTCGTTGCAGCATTTTAGCAAATATCTTCTGGGGCGAAAATTTCACTTACGAACTGACCATGCTGCACTAAAATGGCTATTGCAGTTTAAAAATCCAGAAGGACAAGTTGCGAGGTGGATTGAACTACTGCAGGAATACGACTTCGAGATCGAACATCGCAACGGGAAATCTCATGGCAACGCAGATGCATTGTCAAGAAGACCTTGTCCTGAAGATTGCAAACATTGTACTAGGCAAGAGAGTAAGGAAGTGGTATCCGTGAGGATGCTCAGGGCATAACACCTCAGCAACGAGTGGAAGGACAGCTTACAACGTGCATAGCAGGAAGATCCGGACATCAAGCCGATCCTGGAATGGATGAAGGCCAGTGCTCCCAAGCCCAAGTGGAGCGACGTCTCAGCGATGAGTTCGACCACTAAAAGCTATTGGGCCCAGTGGGACAGCTTGCTGCTTCAGGATGGAGTTCTGTGCCGTAAATGGGAAAATGTTCGGGGAGACAGCTGTCATTTACAAATGGTTGTCCCTAAAGCTAAAGTACCGGATGTTTTACAGCTGTACCATAATGATTATTCAGGAGGCCATCTGGGAGTTAAACGAACTCTACTGAAGATCCGAGAACGGTTTTACTGGGTCCACTGTCGAAACGATGTCGAGGACTGGTGTCGCAAATGTACAAGTTGTGCGGCTGTAAAGGGACCTCAGACTCGTAGTAGAGGTGCATTGAAGTTGTACAATGTTGGTGCACCATGGGAGAGAATAGCCATTGACGTGGCGGGGCCGTTTCCGGAGAGTGAAAGCGGTAACAGGTATTTCATGGTTGTGATGGATTACTTCACTAAGTGGCCAGAAGTCTTCGCCATTCCAAATCAAGAAGCTTCAACAGTTGCTGATAAGCTAGCTCATGAAGTCTTCTGTCGTTTTGGTGTACCTTTAGAGATTCACAGCGATCAAGGAAGGAATTTTGAGTCTCAAATATTCCAGGAAACTTGCCGAGTTATGGGTACTCATAAAACAAGAACGACTTCTTATCACCCGCAATCTGATGGAATGGTAGAACGATTTAATCAGACATTGGAGAGGTACCTACAAAAGTTGTAGACAATCGGCAACGAGATTGGGACAAGCACATACAACCGTTTTTGTTGTCATATCGAAGCGCTGTTCACGAAAATACAGCAGTGACACCAGCTTTCGCAAACTTTGGAAGGGAATTACGGCTACCTGCAGACCTGATCACCGGGATACCACCTGATGCTCCACGCAGTATAACCGATTATGCAAATGACTTGCGGAACAAAATGAATGACGTTTATGAGCACGTCAGACAATCGGGCCAGCAAATGTCTGAAAAGATGAAAACCCGGTATGACCGCAAAATGAACAACAAAGGGTTCGACGAAGGTTCACTTGTGTGGTTGCACAATCCAGTCCGCAGCAAAGGGAAATCTCCTAAGCTTCAAGCTAAATGGGACGGCCCGTACCGGATTGTGACCAGGATCAACGATGTAACCTACCGGATACAGAAAGGCGCAAGAGGGATTCCTAAGATCGTCCATGTGGATCGCCTAGCGCGTTATTATGGGACCGATAATGCTCGGGACGAGCATGTCTTAGGAGGGGGCAGTGTTACGCGCTCCAATGCCTCAAATCGGCGCACTAGCGCCATCTAGTCTCGAACCGAAGAACTAAACTTCTTGAAGTTTAAAACTCGAACTCTCGGTACCTTGCGCGTGTTTACTTGAACATTCTGGATATTTTGCTAATTTATATAAGTAGGCGCTGCAAGATGCGATCGAAGTAGAGTTGAACTCGGCGACACAAGCGAAGCTTCGGAGCGGAATTAAGTGAATTAGTGTGTTTAATTATTAGTGTTTTTAGTTTTAATTTGTGTAAAGTAAATTAAAGTGTTAATTTAGGTAATTTTATCGGCAATTTTTATTGTCACGAACCGCAAGCTCGTAACATTATTAACAGCTGTCAAATAAGGTCTGTACACTTATTTTTCTTTCCACAAAATTGTATATAATCATTAAAAATTGTATCTAATCATAAATTGTTAAGTTATAAAAAAAGAAATTGGTTATTTTGAACATTCATAAACTGCATGATGAATGAACAAATTTTTCGTAGTCTGAAACGGAACGTGGAAAACACACTTTTAATATATTTTTACATGGCTTCTGGGCCTTTGAGCCATTGTAAAGCACGTTCTGTCTCTAAAAGTCAATTGAGAATGATGAACAAAGTAACATTACTTTTTTTCCTGGCTTTATTTGAAAATTCAATTATGCGATACGAAATAAGAAAAAAATATACAATTTTATAAGATATTTTACATTACTAGACGCGTTATAAAATTTTCTGGTCAATAATGGACATGATTCTTTAAATAGGTTATGGGCAGCAGCATCTTCCTGACAAGAACTCTACAAAAAAAACTGCGGTTGCCAACTTACCTACCAAGCAACCATGGCAAAATCCCCCCTATGTGGCAGTTTATTGGCAGACCTATTTTCTAGCAGTGGACTTTTATAGGCTGTAATGGTACTGATGAAGAATGGTATCGTTGCGCAGTGGCTTAGCATTAAATTGCTGCGCTGAGATTTAGCAATTGTATGGTCAACAAATAATTGTTTCGGGTCTGGATGTGAGCGTAACTTTAAAAAAAGAGATGATGGAGTGAAGATGTGGCAAATAGCTCACCTTCTTAAGATTATTAAAGAACGACATGTTGCGTCCTGTTGCGCGTGGTGGCGCGCGGCGCCTCAGCCGCCTTTACTCATCCTGCTGTGCCTTCCATGGACCTGCCGGAGGAAGATTAAATTAATCAACTTCTTATTTTACACGTGGTAGAGCCGCGTTGCTGCTATATTATGGTTGTAGCGGCGCTGTCATCGGGTCACAACTAAGTCTGCATCACGCTTTCAAATGTCCGAAGTACTGCGCTATATAGAACAGCTCTGTACAAACACACGGAGTGTTGGCCTGTTGGAGACCTCCCCTTTCCCCTCCACGGCCAAATAGGTGACCAACCCTTCGGTTAAATTGGTGACTCCGTCATGATCTGAACACGCAACACGCAACATTCGGAAACCTCAATTTTAAGCTTTCGTCATCGTTTTCATGATTGTAACACGAATGGGTTGATTCGACCGGGGAAGGAGGCATTCCATCTTAGTGCTCAGGGGGTCAGGGGTGACAACACATCTGAATTTTGATTCTTAATCGAGGAAAGATAAAGATGTCTTCGGGCCTTAGCATCTACTTACCGTCAGATGAGATGTGTGCTCGTTTATCACCCTTATTTTATTAAAAGAGAAAAAGTAATGTTTGTATGGCCTACAATTAATTGTTCCGGGTCTAGATGTTTGTCCTTGTGCAATTTATGTTTGTAAACCGCCTCCACGATACAAGAGAATATTCTAATATTTGTAAGGCTTTTGTTTATCGAAACTTCCAACACCAATTAGTCAAAAACGATCGAATGATGGACAAGGTGATCTCCTATAAAGACGAAGAGTTCACCGTAATTACCAAGCTGGTTGCACAATCACTACAGGGATCAATCACTGTAGAAGACGTCTCGCATTTCTGACGCTATATCTTTCACCATTCGAGCTGACCCATTCGAGCCAATACCGTAATATAATAGCTGACTGCCTCGTTGGTCTAGTGGTTGTAAACGCGTCAGCAGATCATGAGGTCCCGGGTTCGAATCCCAAGTCGGACCATAAAAAAAAACAAATATTGAGTTTTTCCGTAAAGAAATTCTCAGTAGCTGCTTGGAGTCAGGCCGTTGGCGGTGTCTCACCTCCGTGCTTCGGAAAGCACGTAAAGCTGTTGGTCCTGCGCCTGATCTCTCTCCGGTCGTGTCGGTTTACCGTCCCATCGGATCATTAGAGTGAGGGAATAGAGAGTGCACCTGTGTCTGCGCATACACTTCGTCATTACAATCCTGTTCTGCGCAGATATCTAGTCTGGCCGTTGAGGCTGGTCGCCGTGACCGAAATTCGGTCTGGAAGACATTATTATAGCTGTTTTTGTAATTCTGTTTGGGATTGAACCATGCGGTCCTGCAGTGCCGCAGCAAAATGCTTATGTCTTGCACCACCGAGTCGTCAACTCCACAACAAATATAGTAGTAGGCTAGGCTAGAAAGCTTGCAGATTTCTACGACACTTACAAGATGAAAGGCAAAATGGTTACACTCACATTCATCCAATACGACCTAGACCGACAAGCCGATCATTTATTGCTCATGTTTACTACATATATATTTGAAAACACGTAACACTATTGCGAGGTAACCTTGCTTTGCGTCCTTGCTGGAGATAACACGACAAGTAGTTAAGCGATTATAGCATTTAATAACCAGTGACGTTGGGTTATTGTAGCGTGACATGACACGTGAGGCTGTTTCGGAGGAAATAAATCGCGAAATATTTTTAAGGCTTCGTGTATGGTCTAAGTTATAAGCTTATAAGCGATGGTAAAATAATATGGTATTTAATTTTTTCGCATAATTTAGTCAGAAGATATGTTAAATAAAATTTTATTTGATTATTTTATAATTTACTGTAACTACATAAACATTACTTTAATTTTATTGTTTTTAACATGAAAATGACTGATAACGTAATTTCATTTTTCTTTAATTTACTTTTTTTAAAGAATAGGGTGACAAACGAGCACACAGTCCACCTGATGATGAGTGGATGCTGTGACCCATAGACATCTATAATTATACTCGATTAAGAATTTAAATGCAGATGCGTTGTCACCCAGGGAGACTAAGATGAAATGCCTCGTTTCCAGGAAAAAAGTCTCCAGTTCTATTCACTGACTATACAAAACACAGCAGCATTAAGCGTCTATTATGCTGGTATTCTGTAAGAGCGTCGTTATACTACGGTCGAGCCAATCCCTTCGTCCTACAACCATAATATAGCTGCAGCGTGGCTTTACTACATTTGAAACTCTTTATTTTCTCTTTTTGTTGCCTGAATATTATGTCACTAGTTTGTAACTGTGTTGCTTGACAAATGTAGTTAAAAGCATTATTAACTTTTTCTCACACATACACATTATGTCACAGTTATATTATGTATCATTATCAGTTAACGAAATAATACCGTATTTTACTTTTAGATTAAAGTGTTAATCAATATTGACGGCTCCGTAACGCAGTGGCTAAGTATTTGGTTACAGCGTTGCAGGGCTGCGGGTTCGAATGCCGCACGGAACAAAAATTTGTACAGCTTAGTAATAATTGTTCCGGGACTGGAAGTGTGTACTTGTGTAATATAAGTTTCCACTTCCGTGATACAAGAGGAATTCTTGCTGTGGACGTTAACGTTTTTTTAACAATGAAATTAAATAAATCATGATAACAAATAATGCTAATGTTCAGCAGTGGACTTGTGAAGAGCTATGATGATGATGATCATGATGATGATGCTTAAATAAATAAAAATATTTAAAGGCCATCACTCCTAACTTGGGCCAGCTTTCAAATGATTCATTAAAAGTATTTTATTAATAGCGCTTATTTTATCGTGGCGCGCGGACGGGTTTCCGCCGACAGCGCAGCGCGATATCAATGAAGTGCTTCCAGTTCAATTTCATTATACTCCACGTTACATATTATTATGACGCTTGTTCTGACAACTATTATTTATTATCATTGAAACAATTATTAAGGTCGTCATGCCTATTCAACCGACTTTAAAAAAGGAGGAAGTTGTCAACTCTTCGGAATATTTTATTATGTATCATCAACATTACAGCCCTTCACAAGTCCACTGCTGAGCATAGACCTCCTATTTTTTTGGAGCCCCTGACTCCCAAGCTAGGTTACGAGTATAGAGGTATATATAGAGGTATATAAATGACAGCTGATTATTTTATGTAAATAAAGCAATTTTAATCTGCGTGTGTGTGTATGTGTTTGTGTGTGTGTGTGTGTGTGTGTGTGTGTGTGTGTGTGTGTGTGTGTGCGCGCGTGTGTGTGTCTGTGTGTGCGGATCGGCTAGTTTAAAATAAAATTTAGCAACGTAGATATACACGAAGTAAATATCCAAGGAATTAAGGAAGATTAAAGGTAATAAGGTTCTCGAGTGGCCGCCTCGTAGAGGGAGTGACGACTTGGTAAGACGTGCAGGAAGTCGATGGATGCAGGTGGCTCAGGACCGTGCTTTGTGGCATACCTTGGGGGAGGCCTATGTTCAGCAGTGGACTTGTGAAGGGCTGTAATGATAACAATGGTAAAGGTAATAAGGGTATGTAACACTTATTTATAAAAACATAATGTTTTTCTTGCATTGCAAACTTCAATGATAATGAGGAAAAGATAAATCTATTGTCGTGTAGTGGCGGCGGTAAATTAATTTCATCACCCCGACAGCTGTTGATGTATGGCGTTGTTACCATGTTTTTTTTTTTAATATAATAAGGGTAACAAACGAGCACACAGTCCATCTGATGGTAAGTGGTTGCTGTGTCCCATAGACAAATAACCTCGTTTGCGAATCAAAATGCAGATGCGTTGTCACCCCTGAGGACTAAAAATCAATCCCTGAAAAATAAGACAAGAGGCATTCCCTCGTTTCCAGTGAAAAGGGTCTCAGGATCTCTACACTCACCATAAGAAACACAGCAGCATTACGTTACTATTTTACGCTGGCATTCTGTGAGAACGTTTTTTTATAGAAGAGGGGGCAAACATGCCGCCGCCCATGATCAACCGCAACATCAGGGGAATTGCAGGTGCGTTGCCGGCCCTTTAGAAAGGAGTAAGCTCTTTTCTTGAAGGTCCCCAGGTCGTATCGGTCCGGAAAAATCGCCGGTGGTAAACTATTCAACAGAGAGGTTGTACGGTTGTATGCCCCTGTGGTATATGCGATAGAAGATGTAAGGATGCAACATCTATTCGCAGCGCCAGTGAATCAAGCCGATCGGAGAGCACTCGGTCTTCGACGATTCGAGCCGCTCTGAGCTGGATATGGTCAAGTGGAGCTGGCACTGGGGAGCCCCGGCCAAATATGGAAACAATATTTCATGTGAGGTTCGGCCTCACATGGAATATTGTTTCCTCCAGTACCCTGGGAGTTTTGACGGGAACTAGGCCGGCGACGGATAGTCGCTTCTGTTTTGTCGCTTGAATAATGGTTTGAAGTGGATTTTGATTCATAAGTGATGCGAGTGAATTAAGTGTCCGCGCGTGTGAACTATTAAAGAAAACGACGAAACAAGTGCTTTGATGTCGACATAAACCTCAAGTTATTTTGATCGCTTGGGCGCCTTATGAGCTTGAGTGGCTGTCGCCATCAACTGTCCGCTGGGTTGAGCTGTCGTCAAATTCTTCCAAGGGCTTCGCAATGTGACGCATCAGCATATTGTGAAGATAAAATATAAAAATGAAGATTCCGAAAGAAATTATAGGCACAAAAGGGCTAGAACCTAGAGCCGCAAAGCCAGTTAATAAAAAAACACCAGTGCCCTGCCCAGACATGGGCACAATATTGTGCCGAACGCATCTCTGCATTTTGATTCTTAATTCAGGATAAATGTATATGGATACAGAACTCCGCATCCACTTACTATCAGGTGGATTGTGTGCTTGCTTGTTATTCTCATTCTATAAAAACACGTCATATTGTGTAAGAATTGAATAAATGAATAAAAATATCTCCTTCACTGAACGAAAACAAAATCGTAAATATCTTATACGC